GAAATGCATTTCCCACATTTTTCTACCCAAAAGGCTTTGGTAATTTCATTTCCTGTTTTCAGGGAAGCTGTGAAAAGTCACGGATGCTGTCACGCAGTTGGAACAGGTCGTACGTAAAATGGTGGTTCTCAAAATGTAATTCAGGTGTCTGGGCTTCTCCCCAGCCCTCTGTGTCGGGCACAGAGACTCCAACGATGTCCCCGTCCTGATTCTCAGAACCTGTGACTGATGTTACCTCACGTGGCACAAGGGGCATTGCAGATGTGCTTAAGCTGAGAATGTTGAGGTGGGGCGGTGACCCTGGATTACCCGGGTGGCCTAGTGTAATGACGGGGGTCCTTATAGGTGAAAGAAAGACTCAGGAGCGGCAGTGTCGGAGTGATCGATGTGAGAAGCACAGAGCAGATACCGCCGGATTCGAGGCTGGGGGAAGGGGCCGTGAGCCCAGGAACACAGGCGGCTCCTAGAAGGCGGACGAGGCAGAGAGAGGGAATTTGCTCCAGAGCTTCCGGAAGGAGCGCAAACCTGCTGATGTCTTGATTTTAGCCCCTTGAGCCCCATTTCAGACTTCTGACCCCAACATCAATAAGATAGTAAGTTTGCGTTGTTTCTGGGCGCTAAGTTTGTGGCCATTTGTCCCGCGGCAGCACTGGGAAGCTAACACACGTTCATAAGAGTCCGCATCCTGAACGAGGGCGTGGCGGGGATGCAGCCTGTAGGTAACGGCGGAGGTACCGGCCAGTTTGGGATCCTGGCTCCACCTCACACTCCCGCTGCTCCCCGAACCCTGCTCCAGGCAGGTTTCCGTTTCGCGTCCGTGCCGAGTTCTCGGGGGTCCCTTTACTGTCCTCACAGCAACGTCTGGCCAGGGTGGTCTCCTCGCTCCGCCACAAAATGCTTGCTTGCCCCTCCTGCTCTGCTGCCTCGCTGGTGGCTCCTTCTCGTGTCCCCGATGTGTGACCACGGGCGTGAGTGCCCCAGGCTGCATCCGCGATGCTCTTCCCTACCGTCATGGGCCGAGAGCCCAGGCGCAGCCCGGCTGGGTCCTCTGCTCCGGGTCGCTCGCAGGCTGCAGGCTGGCCGCACTGGGGCCCAGCTGGGGTCCCAGCTCCTGGAGTCGCATCCGAGCTCGGCCGCGTGGTTCTCGACAGGATGCAGTTCACCCGGGATTGCTGGGCTGAGGGCCAGTGCACCCACATTGGTGTCCTCCGCTCGGAATCCGTCCCGGAGCCCAGCTGTCCACGTGAGCTCTCACTTAGATGGTGAAAAGCCATGAGCTGCCGGCGCGGCCAAAGCAGAGCCACCCCTTCCCTGCCCAGCCCGGCCCAGCCCGCGCTGTCTCCGTCTCGCCATCCAGTCGGGCCCCAAAACTTGAGGTTGGCCTTGGCTCCTCCCGCTTCCACATCCGGTGTCCAGGCGACAGGAAATGGAGTCGGTTCTGCCTTCGGCCTAATTAGGACTGTCACCTCTTCATCCCCTCCACTCTTAGCGCCCTGGTCAGAGCCACCATACCTGTTGTCACTGCAGCAGCTGGCCCACCAGTGTCCCCAGCGCACCCTGGCCCCTAGCCGTCTGTTCTCAACCCCCAGCCAGAATGATACTTTTAATATGTACCACGTATCACTAATTTTCAAGAGCACATCCTAAATCTACGTCGACAGCCCCGAAATGGAAATGCAGCTTAGTTTAATTGGCAGTGATTCTTCTCCCTTGGTGAAAGACCTCCACATCTTGTGACAGCTGGCACGTTAGCTCTGGTAAAAGACGCCACGTCACAGCGTGTCGCTTCTCTGCTTGGAACCCCCGGTGGCTTCTCATTTCATGCAGCGTAAAAGCCAGAAGCCTCGCCAGGCCCTCCGAGGCCCTGCGTGTCAGGGCCTGGTCACCCTGCGGTGTACCCTCCTTCTCTCCCGCGGCTCCAACCTCGCCGGCCCCCTCACGTCCCTCCGGCTCACGGGGCACGCTCCGGCCTCCTCGCCCCCGTGTCACCTCCACGGTGAGGCCCTCCCTGACTGTGCTTTTAAAAACACCGCCTCGCCTCCCTCCCCCGAGCACAGCGGCGTTCGCCTTGGTGTTGACATTGAGGCCACCCGGCCTGTAAACCGCCCTGTCCCCGACAGCTCCCTGCCCTCCACCCTGCGCGCCCGCCAAGCTTCCACCGCCAGTTCCTTCCTGTCTCTCCTCGCTGAGTGAAAGTTCAAAACGGAGTAAACTTGTCCCAAACCACAGAATGACCCTGTACCAATTCCCGGGGGCAGCACCCTAGCCACCGGAGGAGCTCGTTCCTTCTGAGTTTAGACATCCATGAGCCTGCCTTCCGTCCGGCCGAAGAGGCTGGCATGACGCAGGCAGGCGCCCGTGGCCTCGGTCTCTTGACCGTCCTCAGCGCCTGTCGCTGGTTCCATCTGCTTCTCAGAGCACACGCCAGGGTCCCCCTGTGCTTTACTGACAAGGCGAATTTACCTTCTTAGAGACTTAAGACTGTGCAGAACGTTCTAGAATGTTCTAGTTCTCCAAGCATTTGGGCAGGTTATCGTGGACTCCTCACAAGAGGCGTCAGGAGCAGACGTTAGCAAAGAGTCCCGGGTCACACGGCGCGATTCCGTGGGCTTCTGCACGGGCGTGAGGAGTCAACGCCCAGGAGAATGAGGTCTGGGTGCGGGGCACAGCCCAGGCTCGGTGAGCTGTCCAGGGACCGCGTGTGGCACATGCCGTCTTCAGGCTGCTGGCAGGAGCACCCTTAGAACAGCCGCAGGAGAGGAGGAGTGAAGGGCCCTCACCTTGGTGGCCGAGCGCCAGGCGGTGACGGGGTCGAGCTGCGTGGGGGCGTGTTCTCCGGTGACACGAGACACGCAGGAAGAGCATAGTGGGGCCAGGAAGGGTTTGAGCTCTGGACACAGACAGGCCTGGATTTGCCCCCTGCTCTACTTTTGTTTGGCCACTTCTCTGTGGCCCTGGACCTCGCAGAGAAAGCCACGTCTAAGATGAGCCCTCATCCAAAATGACAACACACACTAGGAGTGATCCAGCGTGAGAGTCAGCACGTACAGCAAACCCCACGTTTAGATCACAGCAGGCACCCATCCCGGCTGAGGCGCGTGACATCCAGGGCCAGCCTTAGCCTCGCTCAGTCTTTCTAGGTAAGACTTATTGAGATTCCCCAGTCATGGTGTGACCCCGCTTTCTGATGCACCCAACGCAGAGCGAGGCCCAGCCACCCTGGTCCCTCCCCGAGTCACCTCCCACAGCCCAGATTCCACGACCAGGCTTTCCTCAGTCTCTCCAAACTCATGGGCGCCCATGGCACCTTCTCCATCCGGGTGCTGGGGAATGACCCGACTCGTCCAACCGCAGGCGTGGCCCTGGAGGTCTAGAGCCGGAGGACATTGCCGGGGGAAAATAACTAAGTTGAGTGTGTGACTTCCCAGTTAGAGAAGAAAAATTGGAACAAGGACTATTCGATCCGTATAATAAAAGGCAAAAAGGCGGAGGGAACAATGCAAAGACAGGCGTGGGGACCAGAAAACACACGGTAAGAGTAGAAATAATTCGCTACAGGGTCACCTAGGACATTCGACACCGAGAGAGCTACGTACTGGCAAAAACGAAGCAAAAGAAGTTGGTGCGTAATGTCAACGCCAGACAAATGGTACATTAGGCCGAGCATTGTGTACTTTTTTAAAAATTCCGTGTGACAGAATTCAAAGGAAAATTGGGCAACGTGAGGTCGCAATGGCAGATTCTAACACTCCGCCTCGCAGGGCGTGGTAGACCCATCGGACCGTAAGTCAGGCCATGGAAGGAAGATGAGGACAACACAGTACGAACGCTCAGCTGCTCCCTCGTGGAACTGTCATGGACGATGTGAATGTCTTCACTGAAAAGCAAAAGAGTCTACAAACCAGTAGGATTCCGATCGCTCGGCAAGTCGGCTGGATGCAAATCAATACCTCCTCACACAGTAGGTTTCCTACCTACCAGCGGCACCCAGTGAGAACTGCATAAAGACCCTCTGCGGGATAAAGGCTGTCGGGTCCCTGAAGAGAATGTGACCGACGTGCACGAGAGCTTAATGGAGAAGCTCGCAAAGTGTCGTTGAAGGATAAAGTAAGACTCGAGAGATGCTGTCATCTCGGATGGGAAACTCAAATTTAGAAATTTGATGAGTCTCTCCAGATGAATCAGTTTAATCCAGTCAAATTACACGAAAATCCAAAAAAAAAAAAAAAAAGCCATTCTCCCAAACTTAATAAACTGATCCTAAAATTCATACGAAAGGAAGAACAGCCAAGAGTAGCTAAGACGGTTTTGTACAAGAGGATATTGTGGTAGCAGCTACAAAGTCTTGCTATCAATGATGGCAATTGAAGCCGAGGGGCATGGATGTAGAAACAGACAGACCCACAGAGTAAGAGGGAGGGCCCAGAAGGAGCACATGGAAGCTGTGCGTGTGGGAGCGACGTAACACCAGGTGACATAAAAAGGTGAGTTATCCAACAAAGGGTGCTGTGCCCATTTGTCCAGAAGAGGTTAGGTCCCTTCGTCGTGCAGATATTAAGTGCTCGAAGGTGTAAATGCACATAGGACATTTTGAAATCTTTCGAAGACAATGTAAGAGAACATTTTGATGAAATCAAGGGAGGAGGTTTTTTGTTTGTTTGTTTTTAAAGGCCTGTTCCAGCAATGCAATGAGGGATGAGATGACCTTGAGTTGACCCTGTCCCTCTGTCCTGGAGTTTAGGTGTGGATGGAGGAGGATGCTCTGTCCGCTGTGTTGCAGACACACCTACGGGACGGCCATGAGAGCGTCACCCGCCAAGTGTTGGACCGGCTTGGTGGCCTCAGTGAAGAGTGAGTACAGCCTTCTGCAGGGCCTGGGGCCTCGAGTCCCGTGTGATACTCCACGTCAGCCTCAGTGTCCTCATCTGTAAGGTGGACACACGAACTGCCCCTGCTTCTTATAGCAGTGGTGCCCAGCCTTGGTGGTACCAGGCGCTGGTGCTCCTGAGTATCTACTGCCTGAGGATCCGGGCTGGAGCCGAGGCGGTGATGCTAGTGCTGGGGAGCGGCTGCAGATACAGACGAGGCTCTGCTGGCCCGCCACTTACCTCCTGCCTTGCAGCCCGGTTCCTAACAGATCACGGACCGGTACAGGTCTGCGGACCAGTGGTTGGGGATCCCTGGCTTACAGTGTGGTTTGGAGACCAACCAAATTGCAATTATAAGTATGGAGCAGGGAAATAGCAGAGTGTCACGGATAAAGGCTCGGAGTCAGAACCGATCTGGGCCAGTGACTTAGCATTTCTCACCCTCAACCTTTTCATCTGTAAAATGGGGCTGATAATACCCACTTCAAAGGCTTGTCTTTCATAGGAGCTTTTTTAACCCCTTTTTTGAGATATAATTTACATATTCTGTCTTAAGTGTACAATTCAGTAACTTTAGTAAACTTCTGCACCCATCACCAAGGTCCAAATTTAGAGCATGTTCATCATACGCATCAGACCCCTCATGCCAATTTTCAATCACTCCCTACTTATTGACAAAGTTTTATATTCCCGTTTTATATTTTTGCTGTAACTATTAGTATAGAAGGGTTTGTTGTCAACTCGCTGAAAATAATTTCTTTTTCCTTATTTCTTATGAGAAAAGTTTTCTCGATAGAACTCTGTTTTAGTTTCCCGGCCTCTTCCAGGACACTGCTTTGTGTACATCCAGAAGCGAGGTGGGGGAGGGGACTGTGGCATTTACACGATTCAGGAGAAGCACCAGGAAGAGACAGAAGCATAAGCCGGAAAACCTGGGGAGCCAAGCTGAGGACGATAGTGAGTCACTGGAGGGTTTGGGAGCCTGGACACCTGTGTCCTGTAGTTACCCCGATGCTGAGGCTACCTGTATTTAATGGAGACCCAACTGCTAATGCACTTGTAGCTTAGATCTCTCATTTTGCCGTTTATGTTTGTCTCACCTGTCTGTGTTCCTTTTTCTCTCCTGCCTTCTTTGGAATTAAGTGTCTTTTGTTTTATTCTAGTTAATCTCTCTTATGGCTTGTTAGTAGCTACATATTCTTGTACTACGTTTTTAGTGGTTCAGAGATTTTGAATTGCATCCTTGACTTGTCAGAATTGAACATACATTAATATATTCCTTCTTCCTGGACAGTGCAAACGCCTTAGAATACCTTCCTTCCATTGACTCCTCTCTCAGACTATGCTTTTCTCGTCGTATATTTTTCCCCCATATATTTTCAACCCCGTTAGGTATTATTGTTTTACGCAGTCAATATTCATTGAGATTTACTCACATAGTTACCTGTCCTGTTGCTCTTGATTCTTTCCTGTATCCTTCAGCTTCCATCAGGGATGATTTTCCTTTGCTGAGGTTCTGTGTATTTCAGAGCTGCTAGTGACAAATTCTCTTAGGTTTTGTTTGTCTGAAAATGTCTGTCTCGCCCTCGCTTTTGAGGAATATTTTTATTGGGTATGGAATCCTAGCTTCGTAGTTATTTTTTAAATACCTTTAAAGATTATGCATTGCCTTTGGATTTCAATTGTTTCTGGCTCCTTTTAAGATTTTCTTTTGTTCTTTGGTTTTCATCAGTTTGTTATAATAGACCTCAACATGTATGTGGTTTTCGTGTGTATATTTTGCTTGTTTAGTAAATCTGTTGTGCTTCTAGAATCTGTGGTTTGCTATCTTTCATCGGTTTTGGAAAAGTCTCAGCCATGTCTTTCGATAGTCCTTCTGCCTGTTATCTCATGACTTTCTGGGCATCCAATTAATGACACATTTGTTAGAACTTTTCACCTTGCCCCGTATTGTCTCTCGCGTGCTATTGTGTATTTTTTGCTCTCTCGTTCTCTTCGGTTCACTCTAGATACTTATTTTGAGCTCTAGATACTTATTTTGAGCTCCCTTCCAGTTCACACTCACTTCAGCTGTACACGTCCTACTGAGTTCAGAATGTCGGCTACTGTGCTTTCATTTCTAGAATGTCCATTCGATGCCTTTCATAGTTTTCCGTTCTCTGCTGAAATTCTTTATCTTATTTATTTTCTTAAACATATTTATCGCAACTGTTTTAAAGTCCACGTCTGGTTATCTCAGTATTCAGTATCTCGCGAGCGTGTTTCTATTGTCTGCTTTTTCATCTTTATTTTTGGTCACTTACCTGTTTTCAAGTCTGGTTATTTGTACTGAGGGCTGGACACAGTGATTGCAAATTGTAGAGATGATGTGAGTCTTGAAATGATGGGATTGTCCTCCAGAGAGGGTGTGTGTTCCCTTGGAGCAAGGATTTCAGTTAGTGGCAGATCGAATGCTCCATCTGTAAATTTAGTTGGATCAAATTTAGGCCTTTGCAAAGGAAGATGCCTTATTCTTACGACAGGGGCTCCCAGTGGGAAGCCTGGCGTGTTTGCCAGCTCTCTCCTCCGTGGCGGGCTGACTGCCAAGGCTCCATTCAGCTTTTCAGGCTGTCAGCAGATACCTCAGTTTATAAAACTGAGTGTTGGGCCGCTCTGGTAGACTGAGGTTTTTTACTTGAGTCTCTAAGATAGGAGCTCAAAAATAGCTCACGATTTCGCTTTTGGATGTGTTAATTTTGGGAGAGTTATATAAGAAGTTCGAGTGGATATGTGCTGAAAGCAGCTGCCCATGCACATCTGAAACTCGGGGCAGGATGCGGCCAAGTTAAAAAAAAAAAAAAAAAAAAAACAGTGGAAGAACAGATGGCTGAATCGGACCCTGGTGAGCGCCCATGTCTAAGAAGACGGGCAGCAGAGGGTGGCGTAATTCCGACTTGCCTCCTCCAGGAAGGCCCCCATGGTTCCCTGGTAGTTCAGTGTGTTTGGGTTCTCCAGAGAAACAGAACCAATAAGGTGTGTGTGTCTATCTGTCCGTCCGTCCATCCATCCATCCGGACATTCATCCATCATCTATCTAGATCTGTAGAGAGAGAAAGAGGGGGAGAGAGGCTGAGAGGTGCCAAAATGTGCAGTTAGAAACTTGGAGACCCAGGAGTGCCCATGCATAGTTCCGGTCTCAAGTCTGAAGGCCTGAGAACCAAGGGAGCTGATGTGCCAGCTCCAGCTGGAAACCAGCGGACTCGAGACCCAGGAAGAGCCACTGTCTCAGTTGGAGTCCGAAAGCATGAAAAAGCTGATGTCCTAGCTCAAGGCAGTCAGGCAGGAAGTGTCCTCTCACTCACAGGAAGGTCAGCCTTTTCTTTGCTGCAAGCCTTCAACTGATTGGATGAGGCCCACCCATGTCAGGGAGGACAATCTGCTTTTCTCAGCCTACTGATTTAAACATTGATCTCATCTGGAAACACCCTCACAGAAACACCCAGAATAACATTTGATCAGATGCCCAGGCACCCGCGGCCCAGTCACGTCGACACGTAAAGTTAACCACCACGCCCAAAGAGGCCAAGATCGTTGACCCCCCAGCCCCTGCCCACTTTCCCCGAAGGTCCGTGCGGTGGATCCTGCAGGGGCACACCCTGCTCCTGTGCTCAGCCCTCCGGAGGCTGGCTCTCCGCGGCAGTGCCATCACCACGCTGACCCAGATGAGGCTGGCCGGGAAGAAGAGCCTTCTCCAGGAGCTGCGTGAGCAACACGCCCTCGAGCAGGGCTCCTCCCAGTGTCTGGACGAGCATCAGTGGCAGCTGCTTGGAGCCTTGGTGAGACCGGTGTGTCGGCCCCGGAGCCGTCCCAGAAGGGCGGTGCCTTAGTCAGGTTCCAGGTTCCAGCCCCTGAACCAAAACCCAACTCCCGCCACCCTTGTTGTTACTGGGTGGGGACAAGGGCAGCCCCGTTGTGGGGCACCCAGTGCGCCCAAAGGCTCTAGTGTGTGCTATCGTGAGGATTATACTAAAAATGCATGAACAGTCAGGGCAGGGATTGGTACAGTCGTCATCGAGACGCTGGGAGAAACAAGGCCTGTAAGCTGCCTCACGGTTTTAACAAATCCAAAGGAAGAGCTTGTAAATCGCAGGGCTGGGGTTTAAACCCATAAACAGGCTGATTCCAGGTCTCACGTGGCCACTGAGCTGTGCAGACCGCTGCTGTTTCTGACCCATTAATGAAAGCGAAGCTCACACCCTTTTGCTCTGCCCGGGAGAGCTCGGTGGGACGTGGGCAGGACCTGCTGCCCTTCCTCTGAGCCCCTCACCCCCTTCTCACTCTGTCCCGCAAGAAAATTCAGTCCCCGGGATTCCACACGCCCGGCCATGGCTTCTGTGATGTCCCAGACGACTCTCAGACTCAGGTCTGACTTCAAAACTCGGCTCTACTGTGTGACTTGTAGAAAGTTAACATCTCTGAGCCTCTGTGTCCCCTTCGGTCTCAGTGCTCAGGCCTCATGGTGTTCTGGAAGAATGAGACGTTCTTGTCATGATGAGAGGGTACACAGGTGGCATCGGGGGGAGCCTTCAGCAGACCCCTCGCTCATCCATCGGGTGTTGGGTTTTGAAGCCCAGAGCCCCCCACTTCCTATGCCTTCTCCGCCCCTTCCCCATCCTTTCTGGGGCCACAGGCAGGGCCGACCCCGCACCCTGGTCCTGGACCTGGCCAGAACCGCTATGCGGGCAGCAGCCTCTTCCTCTCCCTGTCCCGCCCTGTCCAGGAGGCGCGCGTCCTGGAGGAGACCAACAGGCTGCAGGAGGAGGCGCAGCGGACGAGGCTGCAGCTGCAGCAGCAGCTCCTGGCCGAGGCCCAGGAGGCCATGCAGCAACTCCAGCGGCACACAGAGAGGGCCATCGGGCACGCACTGCTGGGCCAGGCACGGAACGCGGCCACCAAGAGCCGGGCCCGGGACAGGGAAGACTTCAAGGTGCGTGCCAGCCCCCGTCCCAGGGAGCCTGAGGGCAAGAGAGATTGGGGTGGAGCGGGAGGGCAGGGGCCGAGCGAGGGTGGGGTGAGCAGAGCGCAGCCAGGCACTGGTCCTTTCGGAGGTTACCAGCTTCTGTAAGAGGGAGCGGCCCTCCTAGTCGGTGGGGCTCTCCGCCTGCCGCCGGCCACCTCACGTCATTCCGAGCCCTGGCCCAGCCCTTACAGCAGGTCTGAGAGGGACGTGGTTTCACCCAGAGCCACCTGGCTGGTCAGTGGCTAACACAGGATCTGAACCCCAGCCCCTCTCCCAGGGAGAGACGTGGGCCTTCCCTGCCCGCGGCCACCTCCGTGGGGGCAGGAGGCTTGCGGAGCCAGTTGTGGCGTCAGGCCCAGCAACGCGGTGAAATGCGGCTGCCTTGAGTAGGCAGCAGCTCATCGTTGTGTTGACAGTGAGCATAAACCCCAGGACAAAGGCAGCGGCCGCGAGAGGAGACGTGAGCGGGTAGCATCCCACGTCCAAGCCGGCGTGGGCGCTTCGCCTGCCTCTTCCCCTCGGCCCCTGCCCGCCAAGGCCGATTCGTTCCCATTGTTTGAGCTGGGACAACTGAGGCTGATCACTGGGCAAAAGGCACGTGTTAAGCTTTAGTGAGTAGCAGAGTCGGCACTGAAGCCTGGTGTTGGCCCACGTGACCAGCGCCCTCTCTCCTCCTCCTTGGCCGCCTCCCCCTCGAGCCGTAGGAAAGGCGAGACACCCCCGCTCGCTGCAGACCGCCGTGGAGAGGGTGTCCCCGGCCGGCGGACACTGGACGTGTTGCAGGCCTGAAACCGGCCGGGACACTTACGGGTGCCATCATGAGTCCTTTCACTTAGATAAAGTCCTGTCACCTCTATGCGTGGCCAAGAGGTTGGAGCCACGTTCCTGTGACACACCACCTTGTCCCCGTGTGCCCAGCTTGGGGTAATGGGTGGGTCACCTCCTTCCCCGAAAATTCTACAACTCTTACCTAAGAAATGGAACGAAATACTGGCGTGGTGTGTTCTGTCCCCAGCTTCCCCAAGGGACTCAGAGTCAAGATTAGACAATGGGTGCCCCGCCCCCGCCCCAAGAAAGAGCACGTGCGCGGCTTCTGGAAGGACAGTAGTTTCTTTGACCTGCGTTCAAGGGCTTCGTGGCCCCAGGCCTCGTGGCGGGTGCTAGGGGAGAGAGGGGTCCAGGAGGCCAGCGGTGCTGCCTTCGCTAGTTGCTTACACTCTGACGGGAGGGGACAGCAGGGGTGGGGAGTTGGTCACGCTCGTCAGTCACTGAGAGGTTTCACTGAGGCGGAGCCGAGAAACGGCCTGAAGGGAGGTCAGGGTGGGCTGAGGAACTGGAGACGCTGGCATGACCTAGGTTGGGAGGGGGTGGACGAGGCCAGCCGGAGCGAGGGGAGGTGGGGACCGCGTGTGAGCCCCTGCTGAGCCCTGTCCCCAATGCCCGCAGAGGACGCTGCTGGAGGCGGCCGCGGAGAGCGTCTACGTGACCAGTGCCGGCGTCGGCCGGCTCGTGCAGGCGTATTACCAGCAGGTTGGGGGCATCATGGGGGACCACGAGGACCGGCAGCTGCAGCACCTGAAGACCCTGCAGGGTGTGACACCGTCTCGGGGACAGCCCCACGAGCCACGAGCCAAACGCGCTCGGAGTTCGGGACAGACTAGGATGTCGGGTGTTTCACATTTTATTTGGGGGAATCTTTTTTTTTTTTTTAATATTTCATTTACTTATATATACTCTGCCTTGTCCCAAAAAAGGCTTTTTTTTAAAAAAGGCACTTAAAGAAACATACACGTACGATACAATAGGATTTTTTTAAGTAGATGAATCAGGACATACGTCCTCAGATTCCTACTTAGTGGTGACGTGGTTTCGCTCTGGCCTTCCTGGGGGTCCACGAGATGGCGATTCCCTCGGTAAAGCTAAGCTGTTGGGGTGACCATGAGGACAGACCAGCGGCCCACGCAGTGTTCCTGAGACCCAGCTAGTTAAGTATAGCAGCTAGGTAGGTATAGCAGCCAGTTAAATGTAGGAGCTAGATAAATGTGGCAGCTAGTTAAGTACAGCACCTAGTTAAGCGTAGCAGCTAGTTAAGCAGAGCAGCTAGTTAAGCAGAGCTAGTAGTGTAGCAGCTAGTTAAGCATAGCGGCTAGGTAAGCGTAGCAGCTAGTTTAGCAGAGCAGCTAGTTAAGCAGAGCAGCTAGGCACATGTGAGCAGCTCCTTAAGCATAGCGGCTAGTTAAGCAGAGCAGCTAGGCACATGTGAGCAGCTCCGCGTACAGTCCGTGTGCTCGGGCCTCAGAGGCCAGCGCTGCCAGCTCCTCAGAAGGCGCCCGCGTGCGCCTGGCCAGCCGCACACCCACGACTGCGGGCCGAGTCGCTTTCCTGCGGGGCTGGGTTTTCGGCTGTTAGTGTTGAGTCTTTGTCGGGGCCCTTGCCTTTCTCCTGGTACCAGACGTGGCGGAGCAGCCACGGGAGGAGCACGGCTGCTCCGGGCTGAGGCCGAGGTCTGCTCCCGCAATCCGGGCCCTTCCCCCGGGGCGGGCTGCGTGGCCGGTGTAAATCGCGCCCCCTCTGAGAGCAGGTGTGTCCTGCTGACATGTGCGTCCGGTGCCTGCCCCACACCTGGCAGAGCTGATGCTTCAAACATGCACCTTGATTGCCGTGTGTTAAATGTTACAGGCGAGAGAAGAGAAAATTACAAGCTGCGGAAAAAGCAGGAACTCGGCGGCTCCTCCTCGGGGGCCGAGATGGCAGGTGGCGCTCGCGAAGCCCCCCAGGCCGTCCACCGGAGGTGAGGTCTCCCCCGTCGTCCACGTGGGTCTACGCGAGGCCGCCAGCGAGCCAGGTGTGGTGGCGGCTGCCTTTCCAGTTCTCAGTGCTCAGCCCCAGCACAGCACGTCCCCCCTGCACCCCAATCTTGGGTTCCCCCAGAAGCAGACCCTGGCACGAGTACTGGGGGTCAGGTGACCTCAGGGAGCACAGCGAGGAAGGGGTGAGGCAGACGGGCGTCTCCTGTGGCTGCCTTAACTGCAGCTGTGAGACCTCGGGGACAGTCCCCTCCCCGCCCCCCGCCCCGAGCTTCTCCTGCCCCCGGCATTTCTACGCTGTCCTGCTGCTGTCACCAAGGCACCCTGAGGACCATGTTAATGTGCCGAGAGATTGTGTAAGCCCCCAAGTGTCAGTCATTCTGTGACGAGTCAGCCTGCGGCTGGAGGGGCTCGCGTGTGTCCACAGCGTGTGTGGCCACCGCACATCGTGGCTACTCTTCTCTTGTGGCCCCGAGGGCTCGAGGACGGCTGTTGGTCACTAATTCCCGCGACTCAGCAGGCCCTTGGGACAGGTGTGTGCCGGGCCTCTGACCGACAGCCTCGTCCCTTCTGCCAGGGTGCTGGCCCAGCAGCGGACGTTCCTGGCCCAGTTCACGGCCCACCAGCGGGCCCGCCTGGACGCCTGGAAGCAGAAGGCCAGGCTCACCGACCACCTGGAGGCCCAGCTCGAGGCCCAGGTGCAGGTAAGAGTCTCAGAGACAGGCCTTTGCGAAGCGGGCAGTGGTTCAGAGAGGTGGAAATAGCGAAAGGCCGGCCTCGTGATCACAGGTCAGCGTAGGGCCTGTGTGAGGGGACTGCCCGGCCCCTGGAGACCCCCTCAGCCCCCACTGAGTCCGAGTCCCACTGGCCAGTGGTGCATCGGCCTCGCCCCTCGACCGTGAGCCTCGAGGCCGGTGGGTGGGGCTGTGTCGCTCCCTGCGCGTCTGCTGGGCGCTGACCGGTTCCTACCCGTTGAACCAAAAGCGAAAAGCGTGTCCCCCTGGGTGGGAGTCACCACGTGGGCCGCTCAGAGTCACGGCTGACGTCGGTGTCTCTCAGACAGTGCTGCCGGGGGCCGAGGCTTGCGTTTTATCTGGGACGTACAGGAAGCTCAACTCTTGTGACAGAAAGTGGCTGTTTTACTTATTTTTCATAGAAAAATCTCATCCACGTGGGATTATAAGTAGTACAGATAGCAAGCCAAGCAGCTGCTTTAAAAAAAATCGAGTAGTCTAGAATGGAGACACTTCACAGCGTGTCGGCCCCGTGAGCGCACTCACCGCCGCGTGCCGCTCACAGCGGTGACGGTGACGAGGGTGACAGTAACGGTGGTTCACACTCCATCGAGGGCCCATTGTAGACAGTCTGAGCTGACAGCGTTACGTGTGCCATCGGACGTCGCCGTCCAGCAACGGAGGGGAGGTTACTACTAGTACCTGGCTACCGTGGGAAGATGAGGCTGCAGGAGGTTAAGTCGGGTGCAGGTTCACGCAGTCAGGAAGTCGTGGAGCGCGGGGTCTGCGTCAACCCACGGGCTCGGGGTTAAGAGCTCACGCTCTGGGTCAGGCAGGACTGGGTGGGACCCCGGTTCACGGCCTGCGTGGCCCTCGCCGAGCCCCTCCTCCTCCATGTTCTCACCTGTAAATGGGGACCGTGGCCAGCGTGAGAGAAGGTGGACACTTACCTGGCAGGAGCTGGTAAATGTTCGCTCCCTGCCTCACACGTGCCTCTGATCTGCTCCTGACGCCTCCGGGTGCTTCTGGGAGAATCCTCCTCCAGGGGCACAGCCATCAGCCACCCTGGAGCGGGTCGGCCTCATTCTGTGGAGGGGTTTGGAGGCAGACAGGGCAGAGGGCGCCTCGCTGACCCTCCCGCTTTGCATTCAGGAGGCGGAGCAGACCTTCCTCTCCGAGCTGGCGGCCTTGGCCCGGGTGCCCACCGCCGAGAGCAGACCGGTTGCGAATAAACGGGGGCTGTCAGGTAAGCGTGGGAGGCGGCGGGCTGCGGTGGGGCCTCTGTCTGGGGTTATGCGTTCCAGTCCCGTGTCCGCCTCTAAGCAGCCGTGCGGCCTTGGGTTTTTGTGTCCTTGTCTGTAGCTAGGGCGCCCCACCTGGGGCCCCTTTGCTTCCCTGCGTTCAGTAATTCCCATTCCTGGGCCTGCTGTTCAGTGGCTGCCTCATCCTGACTCTGTTTCTCCATCTGTAAAATGGGCATAACTAACTGTGCTCCCCCTGCCTGTGGCAACGTCGGGGACCGTCACAGGGAGTGGCAGCCTGCTGGCAGGGGAGGGACGGGAAGGCCGACAAAAAGGCGGAGAGGGGTCTGGGAAAGCGACGGCTGCCAAGGGGCCAGCGTCTCCCTGTGTCTCCCGTCAGCCGGGCGTGGGGGAGGCACGCGGGCAGGCCCCAGCTCCGCCACGTCTGCGGCGTGCCCTCGCCGCCCCCACTCCCCCGGGCCTCAGCCTCCTCACCGGGGAAGTGGGCCCCATTGCAGGAAGGTGCCGGACGCATCCCCGGCCCACAGAGAGACCCAGATGCCGTCAGCCTGGGTCCGAGTGAGGCCGAGAAAAGCCGTCACTTGCCTGAGGTCACCGAGCCAATGTCGGCGTTCACGTGCTTTCACAGAGAAGTCCCTAAGGACCAAAAGGAAGAAGCCCCCCGTCCGGGACAGAGGGGATCCCGGGGGACCCAATAACGATGACTCTGCCTCCAGGGGACACCCCTCAGGGCCACTCAGGTACAGTAGGGTCCCCGGCTTATGGCCTGTGGACGCTTATCGGCCACCTACTGTGTGTGTCTCGTGTGTCTGGACAGATCTAGAATCGAAGCTCTGACCAGCTGCATTTTTTCCATGTTTAAAGCGGCAAAAGGCTGAGCCAGCAAGGAAGTGAAGCCGGTGACGGTGAGAATCCCAAGAAGATGCTAAAGAAGAGAAGCAATTTGTAGTTTAAGGCCCAGGGACCAAACCAGAAGACCTGGTCGGATGGCCGCCTGCCCTGTCCCAGCCGTGAAAGACCGTGAAGCGGGACCTGGCCCCCGGTGGGGGGGGTGGAGAAAGGATGTAAAAATGCCCCCAAAAGGCACAACTGAGTGTGGCCGACCTCCCGCCCACGACGGTGAGACACCTGAGTGTCAAAAACGTGTCTCTGAGTTTCGTGTCTCTTGGGCTCTACCCCTTGGGGATCTCGTCCTTCCTAGCTCCCTGTTCCCGGCCCCCCACTGTGCCCGGGTGCCCCCACCCCCGAACCTGCCCTCCCCAGCATGAGGCGGTCCCATCCCAGCTGAAGGCCCTCTGCTCCCCGCCTCTTGGTGACATTCTCCTGGTAGTGAAGGGTCTCCCTTGTTGCCGGTATTTTCTGGGTCCAAGACGTTTCCATCCCCCGCCACACCCCTGCCTGCCCCTCCATGGTCTCCGGCTGCCTGAGCTCTCATCAGGCCCGTTCCGCTCCTGGCTCAGCCAGCAGCCCAGGCCCGTCACTGGGGTCTGGGTCTCAGGGCCCAGGACGCTGACACCTTGGTGCCGCCCAGCAGCCCCGCCCTCGGGAGGGCCGTCCTCGGGCTCGGCCTCCCCCGTGGACATAAGCCGCGGCCGGAGAGGCCTTTCCCATCAGAAGGACGACCGCTGTCTTCTTCAGCATCGGGCTTCTGGCCTCGGCGCTGTGGACATTGGGGCCGAGAGGCTCCTTCGTTGGGGGAGGGGCCGCCCTGCACTTGGCAGCACGCCAGCCTCTACCCAGCTGTGACAACCCAAAGAAACGTCCCCAGACCTTGCGGGGCGTCCCCTGGGGAGCACCGCCCACGGATCCGGGTCCAGGCGTGCGGGAGCTCGGCGTTTCCACACGCCCTGAACGCAGTGGGCTGGCTCGGGGACTTTATGGACCGCTGATGACCTGAATTTTTATTCCTTAAAACCTGAACTAGATTCTCCTCGTCGGGAAGGAGTGATTGACGCGTGATGTAGTCAGTAACGGGGACCGGTCTGTGGCCACGCCCAGAGCGTCCGCCAGTTCGGACGCGTCCGCAGGCGGGGTTCCCAGCGTTAGCCGACAGCTCCCTCTTGTGGCGAAATAAGATATTCCGTTATTCTGCCGAGCTTTTTCAGCACAGCTTCCTTGGTGCGTATATTTTGAGAACCTGGTTTGCGTGGCAGTCACCTTTGACCTTTGTCACACGGGTCCTCCGCCCAGAGGCATTCTGGGGGCAGGATTTGGTGACCTGGCAGTATCAGGATCGCTGAGGCGGGTGCACAGTGGTCACACTGGCTGCCTCAGCCTCAGGTCTGGCGTGGATAATTGTGTTGCTTGTGTGGCTTCCTTAGCCCAAGGGACTACGTCACAGGTCACTTGCTGCAGGGCCCGTCCCCAGCCTGGCCGCCCAAGCTACTGTGCTTGGTACAGTCTGGGACGTATAACTTGGTAAAGACTTAAATGACAACACCCGGCTCCGGCCAGTGGGCCATTTATTTTATTCTTTCACAAGCTTTGAATTCGGAAATAAGAGCCACGATAAGTCAGTTGTTAAGTAAAAATGGGGGTGATTGATTACAAAGGAAAACTTTGTACAAAACTTTAAAAATCTGACCGCCCCGCCAACCTCCTCAGAGGGACAAGGACTCGGGCACCTGGAAGTCGCCCCACCGTCATCGGCCCTAAATGGGGATGAGCAGTCCCTTTCTGAGTGTGAACCTGGCTCGGCCTGAGGTCCAGGGCTGGCTGGAAGGACACACGCAGGCCGGAAAGACGCGGTGGCCAGGTTACAAGTGCCATAGAGACGAGGGTTTGACACAGGACGCGGGTGACGTTTCCCTGCCTGCAGCGGAAGGCTCCCCTGCTTCTCGGCGGGGGCGGGGCGGCGTCTCTTCTCCAGTGTAGACTTGGGACGGGGGGCAGTGAGTAAACAGCTTCACGTTCACAGTTCCGGGGCTGCCCCGAGGGCCTGAGGTCTGGGCGTCGTGCCTGCATGGGTCCTCGGCCACGTCCCGTCAGACGCACTCACAGACTTGCATACATAACTCGGTAACATGCATCGACTATCCTAGAACAGCTACAGGGGTGCAGAGGGACCACTCGAGAATCATGGAGCCCGGGACTCAGGAGTGGAAGGGGCGGCACGAGACGATGCTAGAAGCTGCGCTACGGGGGCGGTGAGCACGCCGCGCTCTGAGCCGGAGTCGGCGTGAACTCACACGGGGGGCACAGGGGTTCCAAGCAAACACACCACACTAGTACCACTTCTTCCTAAGTGAAAAGGAAAGAGCATCGTTCAGCTGGTCCCCCCATCAGTACCGAAAAAAACTATGGGCCTCGAAAACACCGACGGGGAAAGGAATGGACGTGATCCCAGAATCCTTCACTCTCGCGCGTCCACGGTCAGCCGAGGCTGGTGATGTTGGAGCGGCCACCGGGGGGCGCCACGATGCGGTGGCCGGTGCGCCTGGGGTTGTTGTCGTCTATCTGGGCACCTGAAAGAGACAGAGCCCATCACTTGTCACCGGCTCCGCTTGCTCCTCCCGAGGGCTGGACGGGGGGAAGCAAGATTGGATGCTGAGCCCCAATCTTGACTGGATCCAGGCTCCCCGACCTCTGCGGGGTTCACTGCTCCCTGCTCTGTACCCCCCGGCCCCGGGATCACCCCCTTGCAGCCCTGAACACACTGAGCTCATTCTTGCCCCACTTCCTGTTCCGGAGGCGTGGGGGCGGGTGTTTGCTGGCGCCTGCTGTGTGCAGGTTTGGTGCTTCCGTGCGGTGCTGAGCTTGGAGCACGCAGCAGGGCTACCTCCAATCATCAGATGAGGAATTTGAGGCTCGGCTCCCGCTTCTTGGGAGACACCCCTAGAAGGTGGGAAGCCAGGATTCTAGCACCAACTGGTTTGTCTCCAAAGCCCACACTCCTGACACACAGAACAACAGCACGAGACCCAGTGCTCAAAAGCGTTTTATGTGTAGTGTGCTTGGGAGTGCATGTGTGTACATTTGTGTGCGTGCATATCTGCGTGTGTGTGAACTAGCCGGAATGACCCACCTCATTTGCAGTACGCAGATCTGCATGGGGGCGGCGGTTTGTTTTAAATCCGCAAAGCCCACCGTCCATTCTCATCTCATGCTTTCCCATGCAGTCAGGTCAAGACTTGACAATGCCAGCACCAAGCCCAGTGTCTGTATTAAATACATCGTGAGTGATGGATAATGCTGGAAGGAGGGAGGCTGTGGAGAAGGCCCCGGGGTCCAGCCAGGAGACTGAGGCTCCAGGACCATCAGCCTGGAATTCATGTGATCAGGAATCACAGTCCCCTCGCCTGGCCTCGCTCCCTCTTCCGTAAAGTAAGAGGAGACGAGTCCCTTCCACTGTGACTTCATGGATCTGTTTAAGCCACTAGAGTTTGGTTCAGAGGGCCGACTTTAACTCCTCGTTTCATTGGTGGACACTGTGTCTTCCTGGCAGTTTGGGAATCTCCCGAGGGCCCAGAGAGCAGGCCTGGCGCCTGACACCTGTTGTCCTCGTAACCGTCTGTACCCTGCTGCTTCCACATCGGGTTCTTTGAAACTACCCACCAGACAAAAGGACAGGCATTCAGTAAATCGGGCCACGTCTCTGTGATGTCACATCACAGATACTTAAAAGGACATCTGTACAGTGGCTCCCGAATGTTGAAAAGCGTCTACACTGTTGGTGACAAATGAAGTCACCTGTGTAACTGCTGTGAGGCTGGCCACAGGCAGTGCTGGGGGCCTCAGAGAAAACTGAGGGCCACATGGAGAGAGGCAGGGTGGCCATGGCAGGCTTTTTATTTCTAAAAAGGAGGGATGTTCTCTCCGCGTTTCACAGCAAGTGTGAACGGCGTGAGGACAGAACAGAGACCCGGTTTGCAAACTCCAGGCGAGATGGCGCCAGTCCCCCCAGACGGTGCTTCCCGGCATGGCACCCCATCTCTGCCGAGCATCAGATGAGAAACTCGAGGTCTGTTTAGGGTCCATTAGTATAAAAACACTAGTTATCTCTGAGCACTTCGGTACGAGAAGCTCCCCATGGAAGGCCCACAGAAAGCGAGATGTCCCCCACCGCATGACCGCTGAGACGGACGCTCCCTAAATGAATGAAAGGTTCTGTCGCGCCCACAGCTCAAACTGGCGGCTCATCTCCTCTGCCGCTTCCACTCTCTTGCTAAGGATATCACCTCTTCCGGTTTAATGTCCTTCGCTCCTGCTAGGCCGGGAGTCGGCGAACCAGGCTCGCTGACAAAATTCGGCCCATCATCTGTTTTTGTATGTCCCATGAGTCAAGAAGAGTGCCCACGTTTTTAAATGGCTGCATGGTTACGTGGCCATTTGATATACTATCCTATGAAATCTTGGCGCGCACAGCCTATCTGGCCTTTTAAGAAAAACTTTGCTGACCCCCAGAATAGACCGAGGGCTACCCCATCCGTGTCTTATTCATCTCCATATTCCTAAACCTAGCACACACGATAGGTTAACACACGCCAATGCTTCAAATATTTTTCGTGCCAAAATTCCAATTCAATGTCCCCAACGTGTGCACGCCTGCCCTCGTGTGGCGATCTGATGAAATTGCAGACGTGTCCTTGTGGCCTCGGGAAAGTCTGACTGACCTCATCAGCTTACAGTTTCGTCCACACGCATCTGTTAAGCCACAAAGTCCTAGAATTTCACGCCAAATTTCTTGAGGTCTTAATTTCCTCTTTAAACAAATAGGCATAAAATCACTCTGCTGTGAAGACGACAGCGTTTGATCAGCTGTGATGGACTGGACAGTGTGAAGACACAGCCAACAACGGTAGCCACTCCCAGTCACCACTCCACATTCAGCTTCGTGGTCAGAGTGTAAAAACGTCCCCAAGGGTGCTTAAGGACGAGTATGGGGCCCATCTTCATGCAGCTCTCCGTAAGCTGGGGTCAGATATCTGTTGCCCACCCCCCAACCCCCTTTGCTTTCTGAGCTCCCCTCGTCCACACTGCCCCACCCGGGCAGGGGAGGTGGGGTCCCACGGTCCCCACCTTGCTTCGTCATCATGTGCCTGAGGCCATGGGTCTGTCTCCCCAGGAGTGGGGCCTCCGGGGACCGCTGGGTGCGGTGAGCCCCAGCGGCTGCGCCCTCCTACCTGATAAGCTGAAGTTGGACTGGTGGAGGTTTCTGACAGGCGGAGGCTGATGTTTGGACGGCGAGGGTTTGGCAGAAGGAGCGGGAGCTGCATATTTGGGTGTGGCTGGCACCTCGTACACAGGACCATCGTACATGCCCCTGGGGACCCCTTGCAATCCAGAAACCTAAACACAGGGAAGGGGAGGGGGACCGATGGGCAAGAAGCACACGAGCCTTCCCGTTCAGATGGGCTGGAGCCCTGCAGGCAGGAGAGTGACCCGAGGTGGCCTCGGGGACACACACATGCACACATGGGTCCCCACTCCACACACACACACGCACACACGCATCACATATGCATTCGCACACTCCCACACACACATACAGACACGCGTACACACACAATTCACACAGGTCCACGGACACAATCACACACACAGACACACACAAGCCGGCCTTTCTGGCAAACATCAGCCTGTATAGTGTGGGAAGCAGGTTGTCATGGTGACGGGAGCCTCCGCTCCCCATCAGGGAAGACAGCGATGCCCACGGGTCACAGCTTCCCCAGCTTTGAGACGCTGGCCGGTCCTGCACTGCCTGGAGCAGCAAAGTTCTGATCAGCACGGGGAGGCTCGCGACACCTCAGAGAGGGGGTGGCGAGGACGTGAGACGGTGCAGGACGGCCCCGCCCTGGTTCAGAACTCCTCCCACCTGCACACGGGCACACCGCGTCACGGTTAGCACAGCCCTACGACCCCCAGGACCTGGCTCACTGCAGCCCCGCGCCGCGCGCAGGGCCGGGCCGGCTCACGTGACGCGCGGGCACGGGGTGCACGCACCTTGCTCCGGATCCTGACGCGCTGGTACAGGTGTTCGGGGAACGGCTTCCGCGGGATGAAGCGGCCCACGCCCTTGCTGACTTGGACGGAGCCGTCCTCGAAGACGACCTTGCCCTGGCTGATGACCACCAGCGGCGAGCCGTGGCACTCCATGCCCTCGAAGACGTTGTACTCCACGGCCTGCGGGCGACAGTGGCCGCGCCTTACAGCTCCCCGCGGAGAGCCCGCTTCCCGGGGAGACGGTGGCATTTCCCAGCGGCCCGCGCTCTGCACCCCTGGGGCTGGCCGCTGGGCCGGACGCACAGCCGGACACAGCACCCGGCACAGCACCGGGCATTTAGCTTGAGGGGGTTCCACGCGCTCAAACTGACACCGTCTGGGGCGTCGGGAACGTGACCAGCCCTGGAGGGCGGCAGTGTGGCTGCTGTGACTACAGTGGACGCTTCTGTATCTTTAAAATATATTTCTTCTTTGGGCTAGTTTTCTAACATTAAATTACTGGGTCAAGGGATAGGAGCTTTTTTAAGGCATTTTTTGCACGTGGCCAGATCACCTTCCGAAGGCATCGGACCAACGGACAAGCATCTGCAGTGGAGGAGAGACACGTGGGCATTTAAGTCTGCAGAATGCTCTCCAGCATCGGGCGAGGTCATATGTATGTACATGTATATATATATGTAATATAAAAAATATAAAAGTACACGTACATACTATTTTTGCTAATTTGAAAGACAAAAATATTGCCCTAAAAATACACATGCATTCTTTTCATAACTCCTAGAGTGACTATTACTAGCGCTAGCTTTTGATTATTTAAAAGTAGGTCATGTATACAGTAAACAAAAGAAAAAAGATACAGAAGATAAAAATTCAAAAGACACATAAGATACGTGATTTTGGAAAAGGGAGTCTTTTGCCTCGGACGAAACAGCGCCCCCCGCACACTCTTCGAGCCCCAGGTGTTACCCACGGACGCACAGTGGCTCCCACTTTGCGAGGTTCTGCAGTTTCCACCTTAACTTTGTCCATGTCAGCACATGTACGTGGTTCACATTCCAGCACCGGGAGGTGCTGTCATTTATCTACCTCGTTCCAGGAACGAACAACCGGGTCGTTCCCCTGCCTTTTGCAGGCGCCACGCTGAAACACACGTCTGTCCGTCCACACCGGCGTGTGTGGACATCTTTCTAGATGTGGAGTCTGGGGCCAAAGAGTAAATGGATTTTACCTTCGATAGATTTGCCCTCCGAGGAGGTGGCACCAGCTTCAACCCCCCAATGGAACTACAAGCTCGCTGGCCGCCATGGTCTGACCACATCTGTGACCTACCAAAGCCCTGGATCTGTCTCTGGCACGGTGAAAAACGCCACCTGACTGTCGTGATTCGCCTCTGGGTGATTGTAAGTGAGCCTGGTCTGTTTTTAAATCAATGTAAACCATTTGTACACTTCTTGTGTAACTCCCTGCATTTTTGCACACTGTTCTACTTATTAGGCTCTTAGTATGGATGGTCTGAGGTCACCGCATCCTTAGGTTTGCTGGGTAGGTGAAGAAGTCCAGGGCGTGTAAGATACGAAGCACAGCGATGACCCAACACCATAGGCGTGGGGCCTGGAACACGGGAGAGTGTGCACACACCCTGGGGTGTGCACCGACACAGCACGCTCGGGGCTAGCCCTGTCCTTTGCTGGCAGTTAGCAGCAGACATGAAATGAAGCAAGGTGTTTCTGATACACCAGATCAAACCCTCTCCAGCCTGATAACTAAACTGGAGAAAGAATCCTGGACCCCGCCGCATCCTACCCTCTGAGCCTGAGAATGCTCGCCTCTGTGGACAGGGGCCAGGGAGAGACAGGGAGAGAGAGACAGACAGACAGAGACAGACAGAGCGCACGCTGGGCCGGGCCCGCTCGAACCCCTCTCTCCAAGTAGAGGAGAAATGTGAATGACGGAGTCATGCCAGCTACCAGGTCACACCCAGTTTTAACCAGTTTTAACCAGAAGTTTCCGCAATGATCACAAAGCAAGACTCACCTACCCGAACCGGGAATGCCACAAATAAACCAGGACCTACCGACTTGTGGCTCTTGGCTGTGATGGTCTTCACCTTGTCCGGGTCCCAGATGACCACGTCAGCGTCTGAGCCCACGGCGATCCGCCCTTTCCTGGGGTACAGGTTAAAGATCTTGGCCGCGTTGGTGCTGGTGACAGTGACAAACTGGTTCTCATCCATTTTGCCGGTAGCCTAAAGGCAAGACCCCGTGATGAGGGCGGCATCCTGCAATCGGGCCGGGAGAAGGGGAGAGGGGCACAGACCTAACCTGGCTGCCGGAGTCCTCACGAGGAGTCTGGAATTTTCTCCTTCCCCCCCCACTGAAAACAGGCCACGCTGAGAGAGCACCAGGGGCCTCGCCTCATCAGAGCGGAAACTGAATAAACCACCAGAGGCTGACATCTGCCCAGCGGCTACTAGGGTGTCACGTCTGTGTCACAGCACCCAAGTTTAATAGAAGGTAAAAACCTTTGATTTTAAGTCAGTGAAAGCCATCTTTACGGGAACTAAAATGTGGTTGATAACAAATGTGCCATCCTTCAAGAGTAAGGGACGGCTGTCACGTCTGCAAATGCAGGGGGCTCCACGGGGCTCGTGACACTCTCTTAAGTCACCGGCTTCCTGGTGTGCCCTCCTGGTGTGCCCTCCTCCTGCCTTGTCTTGTTAAGGGAAGGAGAGGGCAGAGCTAGCGGTGCATGATGCACTGGCTTCTGATGGACCAGGCGGGCTGCTTCTGGAACGTTCCTGAGGGGAGAGACGAGGTGCCACCTTACCACCGCCTTGTCCCAGACAACGGTCATCCGCTCCTCTATCCCGTTGATGCCCTCGGGGATCAGAGTGAAGTTATCTTTGCCCACCGCCTTCTGGGCAGTGCTGTAGGGACAGTGGCCGCTGCCGGTGACCTGCAGGTCTCCACTGGCAAGGACAAAAAACAAGGTGTGGGGTTCAGACCCGAGTTCAGGTTGAAGGGCAAATCCCCGCTCCAGACACCCAACACAGGCTTGAACCTCAAACCCCAGAGGGATTCAAGGGAGAGGAGTTTGGGGGCCCATCATGAGCATTAGTGAGTGACACAGGAAGGCCCCTTGGCCTTGGTGTCTTGTTGGAAACTGGAAGGAGCCCTGGGCGTGGGGAGAAGGTTCTGTGTTAATGCGGCTGGTCTAAGGAAGGCTCCGCCTGGGGTGGGGGGGGCTCCTCTTTCCCATCTGGGAGAGAGGGATGTGACCAGCGGCGCCAGGCTGTCCTGCCCCTACAATGCCGATTCTAGGGGAGCCGTGTCCGGAGAGCCCAGAGTACCCCCAGATACTGTGGGCAGTGAGCTCCCCACACTGCAGAAGGAGATGGGGGAGCAGAGGTGCAGGGGCCAACGGGGTGACTGCTTCCCCGGATCTCACCAGAACCCTGAAATCAGCCCCGCTTTGATGCAACATGGCTTTGCAAATGCCCCTGGCCTGCTTTTAAATCCTGGTTCCGGCCCCCCCCGGCTGGGTAAGCCGCCCCTCTATTCCTTCGCGTGTAAAATGGGGGGAACGGAACCTTCCCGAAGGCATCGTTGCGAAGGCAGAGTGAGCTGACCGGGGGCCTCGCCGAGCACTCAGCACGGCCTGATTTGCGGGCTCCCTCCCCCCGCTCCCTCCACCCCGACCGCTGCTCTGTAAGACTCAGTGCCCGGCGAGTTCTATGTTATGTGCATTTTTCTCTCAATACTTAAAGAAACAGTGAGTGCAGCCAACACATGAGTAACGGAGCGGATGAGCGTGTAAATGAGTCAAGTTCACAGCGCCAGCACGTGCTCGCGTGTCTCAGAGTCGGGCGCGTCCACACCAGGAGGACACTCACGGCCCTGGCCTCGTGTCCCCGCAGGCTCACGAGGGCGAGGCCACGGGCGCGGGGCGGCCGCTGCGTACGCGCTGTGCTTGCCCGACAAAGCGCCACCCGCCGGCTGCAGCGGTGACAGAAGTTCACCGCGTTTGCTTTTTCGTCCCTCAGGCTTTCGAGAAAATACCCTCTGCTCTTCCTTCCGGGAGCCCTGAACTGGACGCCTGACTCAGCGGGCTGAGCGGAGCGTTATTCTGGGAGATTCAGTGTAGGCGGAGGCCACCCTCCGATTCGGAGCCCGGGGCCTAACGGCCACCATCCAGATGCACGGACGTGTGTGCACACGTGACAGCCACTCGCCCCCTGTGCGCCCAACACGATCTTAGGCCACGGGGAAGGATCTATGAACAGAAAAGGCAAAATGCTCCCCAGCCGACACCAGTGAGGGGTGGGGGAGTCCAGGCCCATGTGAGCCGCGGGCCTGAGGGAGGAGAACGGGGCGGGGGGTTGCGGGGGAGGGCGGGCTCCACTGTAGGAAGAGGGACCAAACCCCCTCATCGAGGAGGAATCTTCCAGCAAAGGCGTGAACCTCACGATGTCCGAGCAGGGAGGGCTGGGCAGGGCCACGGGGAGTGCGAAGGCCCCGTCCGCCACTGTGCCCGGGGGAGGGCGGGGTGCAGCATGGCACGGGCAGGGCTGGCCAGGGAGGGAGGGCCGGATCAGCTTTGGCCTGCGAGACGTGTTGGGGACTTGTGTTTCACTTCCGGAGGGAAGAATACCACAGGTCTGTGGGAAGAGGGGGCGCTTGTTCCGACTCAGGCTGTAAAATGTCGGGGCGCCCGCTGGGAGCAGACTGTCACAGGGTGGGGGTGTGGAGGGGGCAGAAGGGGACTATGAAGCCCTGTGGGGATGGAGAGATGATGACGGCTTGAGCCAGGATGGCCATGGCCACGGAGGTGCGAAGTGGCCAGTCCGCAGGGCCCTGGGCCCTCTGCCCAGCAGCCCCCTCCCCAGCTCTCACCAGGCCAGGAGAGAAGTCAGGTAGTCAGGCGTGGTGGGGTCCGGGCTCAGGGGAGGGGAGGTCACGAACGCCGCTGCCTTGGCCCAGTTCTTGCTCCAGTAGTGGGTGCCGTCGGTCCCCAGGCTGGCAGCGATGGGCTCGCCGAAAACGAGGGGGCCTTGGGGGACAAACACAACACGCGTGGGATGAGTGAATGGTCTCTCGTGGGACATGCTGGCACACAAAAGCAGGGGACCTCAGAGGTCAGAGAACGAGGCTGGCCAAAGGCAATCCATCACCCATCCTTCACCACGCACGCCCCGGAGACCCCGGCCCCCCGCACCCAGCACCCGGCTGAGCCGCTCAACAGGCTTTTAGGTTTTAGTGCTGTTAGTATTTGCATAGGACTGTGGTTCCTTTAATAGGTTGACCGACGCAAAGGTGTGATTTGCTCTCAATTTGGGTTCTGCCAGAAGCAGAGCTTCAGGTAAGGAATTGAGTTAAGGGTTATGTTTGAGAGGTGGTTGCAGGACATCGGCTGAGGACTTAGATGAAGATTCCACGGCAGGAAGTGCATGGCCGACCTGGAGCTGAGAAGGGCGTCAACCGACACCTACAGAGCCCCGGGACCCGCCGAGCACCCTGCCTGCTGAGTCCCTCACGTCCACGAGCCAGCGGGTCCGCTCAGAGACAAGGCCACAAGCTCACGGAGGTTAAGGAGCGCATCAAGCGTAGAGCTGGCGGCTGACTTCCTGGACCACACGCCCGGTGTCCAGCACAGGGCTGTGCCCAGACCCTCTGGCTCTGGCAAACCACCTTCCACCTTCCAGCTTCGGATGAGGCTCAGACACGATGACCCAAGGTCGCACAGGGCACACGGCACGCAGGAATCAAAAGTAAAACCGACGGCCTGTCTTGTGTTCGGCCCACAACCCACCCTCCCTTTTCAAAATGTGCAGCAGACCCGGGGGGCTCGGGCTCCTGGCAGTGCGTCCCTGCCCTGGGCCGTGCAGCCCCGTCAGTGAACTTGGACCTGCTGGCCCCCCCGTCCCTCAGGCCCCGGGCGCTGGCCGCGTACCTTTCTTCCTGGCCAGAGCAATGATGTCCGCGGCACTCTTGCTCATCACCTTGGTGATGTACACAGGGCAGTTGATCCGGCCTGCGATGGTGATGGCCCGGAACACGGCCTCGGCCTCCAGCTGGGGACATGGCACATCCACAGGTCACACGAGGGAGGGACGGGGGAGGGGAGCCGCTGCCCACCCCCAGTTCCCAGGACTCTCCCAGAATCGAGGCCCTTCGATTTTCCTCAGGGCTGACCAGAGGGAAAGCTACTGCATTAGAGGAGGAACATACTGTAGGTTTTAAAAAGAAAGAAAACACTGTCAAAATCGTATTTGGTCAGAGGGGCTGGGAGGCAGAATTACGTTCTTATGCGGCTTGGAAGTGTTTTCTGCGTGTTCCGTTAGACGGGACTAGACGAGGCAGAAAAGGGCATCGAAAGGCCCCTAAAATGGTCCGTGTTTGTAAAGTGCATGGCATAAGTGATGCACGTGTCCGCCACGCACTCCTTCATTCATTCATTCACCACGTGAAACTGCCTGCCGTCGAGCTCGATCTCTACCCCCATCTAGACCGGCGCCTCCCAAACAAAAGGACCAGCCATGACTTGTACTGTTTTGTTTTTGATTTATAGTCTGGTGATGCCCAAACACAGCCCTGCCGCCTGTGGCTGCCGCACAGCCCTGGTGACAACGCCCACGTGATACAAATGTTTGTGGACACCGTCTGCGGTCTGTCTTGAGCTCAGCAGGGACCGGGGGCCCCCAGTTGGTGGGCCTCGGAGCTCAGGTGCGAGCACCGGGCTACATCAGGAGCCCCTCGGGGGAGGGGGCTGTCTGCTCACGTGCCATGTCCCCGGTGTCCGGCACGGGGCCAGGCCCAGAGCAGAGGTCAGGAAGACTGCTCGTGGTCTGATGAAGGCATCAGCAAACATCCTCCACTCACGGCTCCCAGGGGCCCATCCCGTTTCAGGCCCAATCTGTGTGTCTTTCTCTGTCCCGCTGCGTGTACGTGTACACGCACACGCACACGCACACGCACACGCACACGCGCACACACACACACACACACACACACACACACACTCTGCCACTCCCCGGGGAATCCGTCATTGTCAGGTCTCAGGAACACCGCAGGCGGTGTGCGGGGGCAGCTGTTTCGTAGGCACTAGGCCTGGGACACATGGTTCCACTTTCCCATCATCAAACACATGAAGCCCTCGGTAAGGATCCTCGTCCCGTTTGGACACTCAAGTGTCCAGGGGGCCTTGGTGTGAAGTTCGTGGGCCCCACAGGCAGAGTCTCTGCCTGGCTCCTCTGCATGACCCGCAGCGCCCAAGGCCCCCGAGTCAGAGGGCAGAGCCCGGGGCGGGGGGAGGCGGGGTTCCGGCGGGAACGGCTCCGGCAATCCCAGCGACACGGAGTCGCGTGCGGCACGTGCAGGCTCCTTTACCTCCTCCGGCCTGCTCAGGGCGTGGCCTTCGGGGCCCGTGATGCCCATCTCTAAGATCCGCTTCTGTTCCTACGAGAACGACGAGGCAGCGGTTACCGGTCGTCAGAGCCGAGAGGCCGACACGCCGACCCCCGTTAGACAGACTGGCAGCCGGGCCCAGAGGGCGAGTGGTTTGCTGGGCTCTAACCGGGCTGGGGGCATCCGGTGCTCCCTGCTCCCTCACTGCTCCCGCCCACCCTCGGTATCTACACCCGCTCGCTACACAGTCCCCCAGGGCCGGCGAGAGGAAGCAGGGGGATGAGAACTGACCCCAAAGACCACCCCGCCCTCCCAGGCTCCGACTGTGCCACAGGGCTCTCCCCTAGGCCAAGCTGCTCAAGCCTCCATCCTCTCTTCTTTCGACTGGGGACCACGGTGCCTGCACCCAGAGTTACCACAGCACATCAGTGAGTCAGCACGCGTAAAACACCCGACACCCCGCACGACACCCCGCGTGTAGCCGGAGCTCAGCCCCCGCCAGCCAGCTCTCGCCCCCACTAGCTTCCTCTTCCCGGTTCCCGTCTCTCCAGCAGGAAGCCTCTACCCCAAGTTGATCACATGACCTTGAAATGGTTCCCTGAGCTAATGGCCCAGATTCAAATCCATTTGCTCCAAGGTTTTCTCGTCCTAGGAATACTTTAATTTCTCAAAAAGAAATTTATTTTTACTTTGCCCAGATGTCAGCTGTGCTGCTGCTAATTTTAACTTCTGCAGTTTCTGTACCACCATTGTTACCGTGAGCCCCGGGCTGTTTCAGCAATGAAAAAAAAAAAATCACAATTTCCGTCGCATCTACGGTTATTAAGCTTGAGCTGATGATAGAAACAAACTGGAAACGATTTCAGCCTAACGGGGTGTGGATCTAAGTGAACGATGGAATTATCTCCGCTCTTGAAGATGGATGTTGACAAAGCATTTTTGCAAACTGTTTACAAAAGACTTTACGGTATGGAGAGATCTTCATGCGAGGTTGTTTAAATGTCAGTTACTATTTCTGCTGGAAGGAAGGAAGGAAGGGGAAGAAGGAAGGAGGAAGGAGGAAGCGACGTAATGGGGGGGAACGCAGAGCAGGAAGACCCTCGCCGCGGGCTGAGCACATGCATTGCTGTCACCCCTTCCGAAACCCCACCAAGGTCACAGAGGAGGTACACGAGGATGCGGTGAGGACGAGACACAGTTTTAGAGGCTGGAAAGCGATACGCGAAGATATATTTACTGGAGCTGAGAACCGTGGGGACAGCTCAGGAGCCCCGATGTGCAGCCTGAGGAGGGGGCCCCAAAGCAGACTGCGCCCACGGCGGGGGGCGCCGCTGCCGCACCCGGGGAAGCTGCTTGGCGGGAACGACGAAGGCTGAATCACACATGCCCGTGACCCAGCCACCCGCCCCAGGGACACACTGCGCGAAAGGGAACACAGGTTTAACGAGGCTGAACCGGAACGTTCCCAACAGTGTTACACACAACGGCCCCAAATTCGAAACTATCTAAATACGCATCGCCTGCAGCATAAGTTGTGACACATTCACACAGCAGAATCCTATGCTGGGACGGAAAAGAAAAGGCAATTGCCTCGTGTAACGATAGGGATGAATCCCACAGACCTACCACTGAGCCCGAGCAGCCAGACGCAAGAGCCCACACCGCACGGTTCCATTTTCACAAAGTGCAAAACCAGGCACACTGTGAGGCGTGTGGTAGGTGACATCTAAGAGGCCACCGGGGAGCCGCCCCTGGCTCCCAGGCCCCTGTGCGAAGCCCTCTCCTTGTGGGTTATAGGAAGCACTCAGCCCTCCGAGGTCACGGGGCAGTTACGTCACCGCCACCGCACAGACGCGCAAACTGGGGCTCGCAGGGGACGTGGCGGAAGGTCATGCACCGGGCGCGTGCGACTGCCACCCAGTGCTTGGCTTGGCCACCCCGCCGCCTCATCACCTCACTGTCCACGCCTGCACCCCCCGCCCCCCACCGCGCCTTTCACAGCAAGGAGAAGCCGAGCGCGGTGGAAGGGGCGGGAACGCACACCACTCACCTGCGCTATCAAGTCTCCGTTTTCCGCGTGGACCAAGATCACAGCTCCCAGGCCCTTAAGGAAGGTGAAGGCTTCGTAGAGCTGAGGAGGGAAAAACGAAGCTTGGGGAGAGGTGAACGATCGTGGCAGAGCGTCTGCGAAGACCCCCGCCCTCACGCGCGCTGCGTCCACCTGCCGGCCCCCACGGCAGAGGCATGGCTGCTCCGCCCCCGTCGATGGACTGTCCTGCTCAACGACAAGCAGGCCTTGGAAGGGACCGTCCCTGGACCCTGACCCCCTCCAGATCCAGAAGCAGGGGCCGGGCTGGGGCAGACCTGGTCAAGGTCACGCCAGGGCAGGAGGCGCCTCGGCCCCACGGCTACGCTGTGCCTTTTGCTCTCTTTCTGGATTTGCTCCATGGCAGAGCCTGTTGACAGTGACACCGGGTGTGAGCAACCGATCACGGTTTTACTGAAATCGTGCAACGGAACCCGCCAAGCTTGTGCCAGAGCCAGCCACCTGCCTCAGGAGACGGCACGTCTTCACGACACTGTGAACCCATCTGAGACACCACAGTGGGGTGGCAGGAAAAGGTCCTCCGGTGACTCTAACGCTTGGATCCTGCACACCCCGCCCAGCATCACCTTATCCAGCCGACACAGGCCTGGCCCACTGCCCGCGGCCCTCCTGCCCCCCACGAAGGGGCTGCGGCCAGATGTTTGCACCCTGCGTGGACCAAAGCCATCGTGTGCCCTCCCCAGCGGCTCTCAAATCTTAACTCTGTTCCCCGCGTGTGTGAGACCACACTGCCCTCCACTGGGTATGTCCTGTCGGAGCAGACAGCAGGGGCGAGGCACTGGGGCGCGTCATCCACAGTCCGCCCGACTCCGCCTGGGCCCAGGGCTGTGTTGGGGCGGACGCCGGAATGAGACAGGGACCCTCCATCACCTGGGTGCCACGTGCTACTTTTTCCACGGAAGTGAACCGATTTCCGGCTTTTTAAATGCCCTCTGGTGGCGGTACCGAAGGGTTTCAGGGCATCGGGGGGTGAGAGTTTCTGTAACTCCGAGTGTTTGTTTCGAAAGGCGGCAGATGTGCTTCTCCCGCTGCACAGCGAACACCCTGACGAGGGGCAGCCTGTTGACACCCGCACGGCGCCCGCGGCGTGCCAGGCACTGTCCCAGAGCTCTACTCTACTCAGCCATTTAACCCCTGACGGCCTCCACGAGGCAGACGCCATTATGAGTCTGGGGCACAGAGAGGTTGGGAAAGCGGCCCCAGGCTGCACAGCAAGGCCGCGGCCGGCCGGTGGCAAGCATCTGGCTCTAGCATCCGCGCCCTTCGCCGCCACTGCCCTGCCTTTGTGACAAGCAGAGGGCAGGGCTACGATAGCAAACAGAACCCGGAGTCCCAGTGGTGCCAAGGCCAGGCGCCCGGTGAGCGGTGACTCAGCCCCAGCCATGGAGAGCATCGTCTTCCCATGCTCACTCTGCCCCTGGGTGGCTGTTGGACGTCGGCAAGGCCAGAGGTGACGACGTCTTACAGATGAGAACGCTGAGAGGGGAGGTGACATCCCCTCCATCCCCCCCAGGGTCAGACCTCTGACCTGGCTTGACCTCCAGAACCAGCCTGGGAGGTTCCGGGAGGAACAGACCCGAGCCCTGCCCCACCCCCCACCCCCGTGAGTCTGCGATGGGGTCAAAGTGTCTGTCCTTTTAATTAGCTCTCAGGGTGATGCAAGGGTTTGGGGACCACCTGCGAGGCATCGCCTGCTCCGCCCCCTCCAGGAGCCAGACAGGAATGCAGGCCCAGAGGGGGACACTGACACAGGTCACACGGCGACCTAGCACCTGACCCCAGAGCCTTCCCCTGCCAGCTCCGGCCCCTCCCCTGCCCTGGGCTGGCTCGCCTGTCAAAGCCGCCCGCTCCTGCCCAGGGCGGACAGGAAGTGTGCGGGAGGACCTACCTGGCTATCGGACATTTGGTAGAGATCCTTATAGGCCATGTAGACTTGGAAGGAATTGACGCCTGTTTCAAGACATAAGGAGAACAGAAAAACACATTTAAGAGAAAGGGCATGTCCTCCTTACAAACTGACGATCGCAGCACAGAGTGGAGACCACCGAGATCGGGCAGGGGGCACCCAGCACCGCCTGCGCCTGTGGGTGTGGGCGAGGGCCAGAGGAGGCCTCCTGGGAAGGTCACGCCT